AAAAATACTGAGAATTACTATTCAATTACAACCTCAGCAGTTTGTTTTCCCGCTCAAAACGCGGGTTGAAAGTTTTTTGCTTACGCGGCTTCACATCGACTAGCCCACGTGTAATGCCTAACCGTGAGCCCGCAGGACGCAGCTCTTTATTGACATCTGTCGGTGTCTCCTGGCGCACACTAATGGGGTATCCAAGTTACGCACGCAATTGCACCTGCGCATTACCTTCTCCCTCGCCCCTCCCTCACGTAATGGCTAAGATAGTGCCTGCGGTACAGTTGGCCGCGTATGCTAAAAGTAGCACCTTATACGGATGCCTGTACGGTCGTAAGTCCAATTTTTTTCGGCTTGATGGGTTACTTCTATGTTGTATAATTATGGGGCTACGCTGAGCGCGCTGTGCGCGCTGCGAGCTCTGCTATAAACAATTGTCATAATAAAATCTAAATTTTTGAAAGGCTAGGATAATTAACTATTTGTAAAACCCTTAGCAATTTCAAAATATTTTATAAATTATGACTATATATATTATACGGGGGAAAAATCATACGGGGGAAAGAGAAACTTTTGGACTGAACAGCAACTATGGAAAGGTTTGTTTCTTGTGACATGCATGGACCAGAACGGGAAAATCTCTGGATCGCCAAATGTCATAAAACTTTCACTCCGTGATTGACCAAGGATACATTTCTCCTTACGATATCAATAGAGTTTCAATTAGATTACGAGAAATAGGAATATCATCAACTTGGGGATATTGTTTTAATCAACACCAGAATGATTTAAGAGTGATTTACATATTGGCGGCAAGAAGGTTTTTATCCCCAAAGTGAGCTCTAACCCTATACAACTTTACAATGATCTTCCCATGTAATTTTTTTAGCCCTTCAACTCCCATAAGAGACCGAAACAGAATTTCTCCTTACAATATCAATTGGATTTCAAGAGGACAAGTGACGAGAATGAAAAAAAATATCAACGAGGGGGAGCATAAGTTGATTCAATACTAAATTCTCCAAACTACTTAACAAGAATTGTACTGCAGACAGTCAGGAGAATTACTAGTGAGATCTAGGAGTGAAAGGACTAAGAATGCAGTTGTGGGGTGAAAAGAAATGGATCGGTCTGATTCTGTAAGTTTAAACTGAACTAGATTTACATTTTTTTTCAAGGCAATGGCATCATTGACTTTTGAGAATTTCTCCACCGATGGACACCGGATGAAAGAAACAGACACAGAAGCAGAGATACGAGAAATGTTCAGTGTCTGACATGGATGGTAACGGGTTTATAAGTGCTGAAGAATTCAAGTGGACGATGATGAACCTTCATAATCAGTTGACCGAAGAAGAAGTCAATGAGATCATCAAAACAGCTGACTTGAATGGTGACGGACAAATTGATCTGAAAGGTAATTTCAATTTTTTTTTCTGTTTCGTTCTCTTTTTTTTATGTCCAGTATTCGATTGTCTCATCGATGTTTGATCTTTTCGACTTTTTCTCCTTGCCTGTCAGTTTTGTTTGCACATGTGATATAACAACTGGCTAACCCTGTCTCTTCTTTGAGTTTCATAAAATCAAAAGTTTACGTAGGTTTCCAAGCCAATTTAAATTTTTTGACCTTGTTTACCAAACCCTCACCATAGAGATGAATAGAGGTAAAGAGTCTATTTATAATTGCTTTGCAACCAAAAATTTAATGACACGATTATTACAAAAGATAATATCAATTATAATAACATTGAAAATAACTACTAGTAGCTTAAAGACAGTTTGTATAAAAATTTGTATATGTTACGTTTGTAAATAAAATGTCGAATCAACATAAATGAAGAATATAAAATTTTGTAAAATAGTTTAGGCTGTTACGATGTATATTTTTGCCTAAGGATGTAGCTGTTTTTAGAGTAAGAACTGGAAAGTGGATATTCTTAGGAATAAAAAAAGAAACAGGCATGCCCAGTACTAAACTGGACGCTTCGGGACTAGACTAAAAAGCTGCAATATTTCCAAACGCCCCATTTCCCAAATAGTTAAGGTATTTTATGTCGGTCTAAACTCTATTTCCACCACATCGCTTAGGCTGATTTATTTCTCTTTCAGAGTCAAATTGATGTCTTCTAGAGCCAGCACGTGTCGTTAGCATTATTTTTAAAATGGTATAGTAGTTGTGCACTGGGCACTCAAGACACAGGATTGTTTACGCTGGCATCGTGCACTGTATTCCTCTGAACGTGTCTGCAGAAATGAATGACACTCAAACCATTTACAAGTTATGAACTTGCACAACAATGTGACATTACAATGTTCAATCAAAGTTGAGAATATGCCTCTAGCATTTGATTACCCTAATTATTTGTATGTTTTATGTTACTTTATATAATAACTGACATACTACAAGTGCCTTGGTTGTTTAAAAACCTATCATTTGTTGCACTAATAAAACCGTAGAAAATTGAAGTATATTTTATAAAAGCAATAGACCGCACTTTC